AAGAATTTTGCACCTAAGCACCAAAGGAGGGGAAGTTCAGAGGCAAATTTGCTATCCAACCTCAGCAGAAGATGATGCACTTATATGCTCTTTGGAAAGCAAGAGGAATCTTGGGTTTTTAGACTCCGGTGCGTCATCCAATGCAACTTCCACAAAAAGAACTCCCTTGAAAGGTATGCCCCCCGGAAACTTTGGAAAAGTAATACCTTGGTAATGACCAACCATGTAATTATTGTTGGTAAAAAGGATTAGTGAAGATTAAGTTGAATGGGTCTACATGGGAGTTTTGAAGGTATGTCAAGACAATATTCCTGACCTGAGAAAAGAACTTAATCTCAGTAGGTCAAGTTGGCCAGCGACGGCTACACAATAACCTTCCACGGCGATAATTGGAAGATTACAAAGGGTGCAATGAATGGTTGCTCGTGGAAAGTAAGAAGTGGGTACTCTTTACAGCACAGGAGGAGCAACCTATTCCTATTGCTGTTGCAGGCAACTGGAAACTCCAATATATGGCACCAAGGCTTTGGCCATATGAGTAATGAAAGGAATGAGGGATTCTATCACTCACAGGAAAACTACCAAGGTATTTCAGTCAATTGAAATGACATGTGTGAAGACTGCATATTTGGAAAGCAGAAAGAGTCAGCTTTTCCAGAACAAATAGAAGAACCCCAAAGAAGAAGAAACTTGAGCTTTGTTCACTCCTATGTGTGGGGAACCAAACTACTGTCTCAATCCATTGGTGGAAACACTACTTTGTGAACTTTTTAAATTGATGATCACTCTCGGAAAGTATGGGTTTAACTTTCTAAAATAATAAGTCAGAAAGTATTTGATGCTTTCAAAAATTTGGGGAAAGCTATGGTTGAAAATGAGACAGGATTGAGATTAAAAGCTAGAACCGACAATTGGGTGGTGAATATGGAAGATCACCCAAGGTTCAAGAAGTCTGCTTGAGCATGGAATCAAAGATGGAGAAGAACCGTGCCAGGCACGCCTCCAAACATAATGGTGGTAAGCTGAGGCGCAATGAATCGAACGTTGATACAGATAAGAGCCAGAAAGCTTACGTTGTACAATCAGGCTTACAAAGCAGTTTCTGGGCAGAGCAGTCAACACAGGCAAAGCTTACTTGAATCAACCGAGGACCATCGGTACGCTATGGAAGCACATAAATACAAGAAAAAGGTATGGTAGTGGAAAAGAAGTAAAACTCTCACACTTAAACGAGTTTTCGGTTGTGGTAGCATATGTGCCATATAGGTGATCATGGCAGGAATAAGCTTGATCCCAATCCTTAAGAAATGCATTTTCATCGGCTATGGCGGTGATGAGGTTTTTGGATTACGCCTCTGGGTATGAAGAAAACAAGAAAAGTAATCCGGCCAGCAAGAGATGTAGTCTTTAATGAAAGAATGATGTTACAAGACAGAACATGACACAGTTGCCAGCGACTCAACGAGCAGAGTGGGCCAGTGGTTTGTAGAGGTGGACGACATATTTCAGAAAAGTCCTGCCGATGAAGTTAGTTAAAGATCCTCAATTAGACGGAATCGATCACACACCACAGAACTTCTCCTCCACAAGCATTAAGAAAGGTCTGAACGTCCTCCCAAAGCCTAACAAAAATATATGAATTAATTTTGTTATTAACAGATGGAGGAGAACCTGAAATGCTTTGGAGAAGCATGTCAAACGGTAGATGCCAGCCAAGTGGGAGCTTGCCATGAAAGACGAATGAAAAGTCTTTAATTCTCCAATCAAACATGGGAAACTAGCTGAGTTACCCGTGGAAAGAAGGCACTGTCACAAACAAATGGGTTGTATCGAGTGAAAGAGTGAACATGATGGTTCAAGAAATAAAAGCTTCGACTGGTAGTTCAAAAAGGTTCCAGCAGAAGGAAGGAGTTTGACTACAACCGACATATTTGCACGCGGTTGTAAAAAAACTCAATACTATCAGGTCTGTGTTGAGTATTGTTGCCAGTGAAGGGCTCTACCTTGAGCAGTTGGACGAAAGACGGGCGTTCCTTCACGGAGACTTGGATATAAGGAGATATACATGTACCAGCCGGAAGGATTTCTCGAGAAAAAGGAAAAGAAGAATATGTGTTGCAAACTCAAGAAGAGCTTGTATGGACCTGAAAACAAGTCCAAGACAGTGGTACAAAAAGTTCGACAGTTTCATGGCACGAATGAAGGCTTCCCAGAAGTGCAATGGCCGACCAACTGTTGCTTCCTTCAAAAGATACAGTCCAGTTTTATATCATTCTACTGCTTTATGTTGAAATGATTATGTTTATGTAGCAGGTTCATAATATGGATGATATCAGAAACTTGAAGAAGCAATTGTCAAAAAGAATTTGACATGAAGGACTTAGGTCCCAGCGAAAAAGATTCTTGGAATGCAAATCACGAGAGATAATGCCAAAAACAGGTGTATTGCAATTATCCTCAGGCGGGATTAATCAAATCGTGTATTGCAAAAAGATTCAACATGAAATAATGCCTAGCAGGTCAGCACACCTTGGCAGCCATTTTCGCCTATCCAAGGAACCAGTCCCCCTCAGACAGGAAGAAGAGAGAAGAAGACATGGCGAAAATTCCTTAATGCTTCAGCCATAGGAAGTTTTGATGTATGCAAGGTAATGTACGAGACCAGATTTGGCCATGCAGTGGGAGTTGTTAGGCAGGTGAATATGTCAAATCCAGGGAAGCTCATTGGGAAGCTTGTTAAAGTGGAATTTTTGAGGTATCTAAGAGGCACTACTAGAAAAAGTGTTTGTACTTTGGGTAAAAGGAGAACTAAAAGTACAAAGGTTATGTAGATGCAGACCTATGGAGGCGACCATGATCACCGAAGAAAGCACCAGCAGGTTTATATTTTCACTGTTGGTACTACAGCTGTTAGTTTGGATGTCCCAACAGGTACAATGGAAGAGTGTAGCTTTATCCACAACAGAATGCTGATATGTCGCAGTGACAGAAGCCAGGCAAAGAGATGATATGGCTTCAAGGTTTGTTAACTGAGTTGGGATTCAAACAGAAAAGGAATGTTTTGTACAAGTGATAGTCAAAGTGCAATACAACCTTGCAAAGAATTCAGCATGTTCAATTCCAGAACCAAGCAATTGGATTCGTTATCAACTGTCAATCAGATCTCTATTAGAAGATGATGTGTTAATAACTGGAGAAGACCAGGAAGTAAGAATCCGGCAGATAATGTTTAAACAAGGTGGTGACCATTGACAAACTGAAGTTGTGCTCGACTTTCCAGTTGGCCTGCTAGAAAATACAGACCAAGAGAAGACTGCCGCAGATGATTGATGTGTGGAAGACAAGATTAAAATCAATCTCAAGTGGGAGATTGTTAAAGTTATTACTGTGGTTCCCCCCAACATTGAGACCACAACGGTTTGAAGAAAATAAAAAAGGAAGAAGAAAATTTGTTTTCGGTGGACGCGTTAGGAATCGGTGGACGCGTTACAGTTTTCGGTGGACGGCGTAAATCCTCTCCCTATAAAATAGGAAGAGGATTTTCTTCAATCTCAGTACAACACTAAGAAATAGAGAGTGGAGAAGCATTGGTGAGAGAGCGAGAGTAATGGTGGAGAGAAAAAATAGAGGAGATTATTCAAGAAGAAAAATTAAGATATCTTGGAAAGAGTGGTTGTGAGTGTATGTAAACAAATATTTATTTTTCTGCCTATAAAAGATCTGTGGCATGTCGGAAGACGTAAGGCAATATTGGCCGAACTCCGTTATCAAATTGTGTGTTATTATTTTCTTTTGCTCCTTCATAAAGGAGACGTAGGCAATATTGGCCGAACTCCGTTATCAAATTGTGTGTTATTATTTTCTTTTGCTCCTTCATAAAGGGGATTTTGCGTAATTTTTCCCAACACCCATCTGCTGAAACCATTCCATTTTTATATACCCAACAGTGCATTTGCTTACCCAAAACAATCCAACACGCATTTCCACAAGCAAATAGAACAAAATGAAATGTATGGTTTTGTGGCTTTATATTATTACCATCTTTTAACATGTTATCAAAATAGTGTAGAGCTAAATGAGGCTGCGAACTACGAGAATAAGCTCTTATAAGAGTGTTATAAATAAATGAATTGGGCATTTCAATTTGGTTGAATAAAAGGGAAGCATAAGAGAGATTACCATGGGACGATAGAGCGCAAAAAGTAATGAGTTTGCTCATAGCATAGTTGTCTTTGTGGATTCCATGGACAATGAAAGTCGCGTGCAGGGCCTGGAGCTGGCGAGTGGTCGCACATCGTTCTGCAAGGGAAATACAACGCTTCCATGCTTGGATGCTCAGTCTGGTGCCATTTAAGAGTTGGCTCATGAATGTAACCAAGTTGATGGTTCATACTCTGTTAGCTATGGGCATAGCATACTCTAGTTAGGCTATTATAGGAATCCTACAGAACGAGCTGTAAAAAGCATTTCTTTCGAAATAAACCGGCACCAACTTCATGTCGTTTACACATGGAGGAAAAGTTTCACTTTAGCTTTTTAGACGGTTCCTGTCGTTTGCATGAGGGGGTGTTCACAAAATGGCCCAAATCCATCAAAACCGATTCAAAATTGCAGTTTTAAAATGTGGGTGTTTGATTTTAATATAAAATTTTTAAAAAAAACTAATCTTTTATTTCAGTTTATGATTTTGGAGTCAAAACCGCTCAAATCCAACTAAACCTTATAAAAGGATTTTCCTTCAACATGAATGACTTGCCGTCGTGGTCAGCTTTTTCTGATAATGGCCAAAGGTACTAAATGCATGTTGTCGTCAAACTAATTTAGCATTTAGAGTTTCATTATTATTATTTTTTTTTTTTTAGAATTACTTTGTGTTTCATTTAAGTAACCTTTCCAAACTTTAAAGTCAATTAATGTGATACAAAACTTACAAGTGAAACATAAATATTAAATACCACATTTCAAACCACCATACATCTATCTATATATATTCACTTGTAATCTACCAAAAACAACAACAACAAAACTTTTCTAAAATTTGATTCAGTTTTTTATTATATTTACTTTTTGAAAATGGAGAAGGGAAATAAGAGAATGGCCGTTTTAGTCGGATGCAATTATCCAAACAGCAGAAATGAATTACATGGATGTATTAACGATGTAGTAGCGATGAGAGAGTTGCTCGTGAAACGTTTCAGGTTCGAGTCTACCCACATTCAGCTCCTAGTAGATTCAACTGTTGCTGGGTTGAGTTCTGTAATGCCTACTGGTATTAATATAAAGAAGGCACTTGATGCTATGGTTGATGAGGCTAAACCAGGAGATGTCTTATTTTTCCATTATAGTGGACATGGAACAAGAATTCCATCCTTGAAGCCTGGGCATCCATTTAGGCAAGATGAGGCAATTGTGCCTTGTGACTTTAATCTCATCACTGGTAGGTTTTACCTTTGTTTTTTGGGGGGGTTGATTTTAGTTAGTCAATCAATTTGTTTTTCAATCGTTTTTGTTACTTTTTTTCATACTTAATATTTTATTTTGTTAGATAAAAAAGAAAACTCTAGTGCCTATAATTAATTTAACATATTTATTTGTCTTTTTCTAGGTCAAATAATCATTTTTTTTTAGTATTTGAGAGAAAAGAGATTCCAAACTAATCTATTGTCAGATCGTATATGCACTTAAAAGTCATAATTGTTATAAATAAGGTATTGGTTAATAAAATTTTTAAAAAATTGTAAAATTATATAAAAAAAAGTGTTAAAATTCAGGTTTTTTTCCATCATTTGTTTTTATTTTTTTTTTTACAGCAATATTAGAATAGGTTGAAATATAAAAAATTATGCAATGCTTCTAAATTCTCAAAATTGTTTTATTATTTTTTCAGAATTTTTCAAAAAAAAATCCTTTTATGATAATTAAACTTATAATTAGGGGTAAGCAAATTGGCATCTCAGTCCAAATCGAACTGAACCAAAGCCAAAAATTGCTAACGGAAGTTTTGGAGGCAGACCAAATGAAACTGAAATTGACATTTGAATCCAACCGAATCAATCAGATTTGATCAGTTTTTGCCATGTTAATTCGATTTTAAACCCAACTCGAACCAAACATAAATTCGAACCAAATTTTCCTTGCATAGCTTACCAAACCAAAATGAGTTGATTCGATTTTCGGTTCAGTAGGTGGTTTTGCACACTTTTACTTATAATATATAATGTGATATAATCTGTAATCACTGTACACTGTTGCAGATATGGACTTCCGGCAGCTTGTGAACCGACTACCGAAGGGAACAAGCTTCACAATCCTATCAGATTCATGCCATAGTGGTGGTCTAATTGACAAAGAAAAAGAGCAAATAGGACCTAATCATATTTCAACAAATACAACGAAACTTCGCCATATTTCTAAATCCATCCCATTTGAATCCATAATCGAACACTTAGCATCTCTCACCGGAATAAACACATCCGACACTGCAACCCACTTTTTAGAGTTGTTCGGAGCAGACGCCAGCCTGAAATTCAAACTACCGAAATTCAAGTTCGACGATCCTTCCGAATTGGAAATTAAACCAGATGAAGGAATATTGTTAAGTGGGTGCCAGGCAAATGAGACTTCTGCCGATATGAACCCAATTGAGAAAGGAGAAAAGGCATATGGAGCCTTTAGTAATTCTGTGCAAATGGTTTTGAAACAGCATTTGGAGGTACTGAGTAATAATGAAGTTGTTTTGATGGCCAGAAAGGTTTTGGAAACACAAGGCTTTGATCAACACCCTTGTCTGTATTGTAGTGATAAGAATGCCGATTCTGCTTTTCTCTGGCAACTTGAGAATTAATTATAATTAGCTAGCTAACCATCAAGTTTAATTTTTCAGTGTTGTCTTTATTTTTATGGTTATTGTATGTTGAAATAATTGATTAATCACTTATTATAAAAGTGAAAATGTAATAAGTTTATGCCTTGTGGATTTGTTTTTTAAAATAATTGAGAAATTCATTTTGTTGTTTTACATTGAATGGGTTTAAAAAGTTATTAGTTAATAAACATAAATTTTTTTAATAATTAAATTTATTTGCATTATCATAATTAAACTTGTTTCCATTTTAGCATTAAAAAAAATTTGAAAGTTTAAAGAAAAGCATGCTTCCTAATTCTAAACACATTTGGATATGTTTTATTTCTCAATAAATTAAAAAAATCTTTATAATTGTTATTTTTTTATTTTTCTATTTTTTTAAAAGTATATTTCGTTAATTATAATATCAAACATTGCAATTAGAAGCTAATAGAGTTGCTTATCTTTTAACAAATCAAAAGAATTATATATATATTATTTTGAATAATAATACTAAAAATAAAAGATAATATTATATAATTTCCGCTTGAAGATGATCTTGATAAAAAATGTAAATCTTCGTAGTAGCAACTAGTCCTTTAATTGAGTTGGACGATAAAATAAATAATTTCTCTTGATCTTCTATACCTTGATTGTTTTCCAAGAACTTGCAACATATAATGTACACATATGATTTTCAGATTTTGAGTAAATCACAAAGATATAAGTTTAGTTTTCCTTTACATGATAAGTTGAATATTTTCAAGTCGATAATATTTGAGATCTTTAAATTCGCTTTATGGTTTGTATGACTATATTGAATTTATCATGAAAATAGGCTACCCATGTGATTTTTCTGATTTTGAAAAAAAATATATAAATATTTCTTACATTTGAAAAAAAATATATAAATATTGTATAGCCGTACGAAACACGAAGGACCATTGGTATTAAATAAAATTAGTGAAAATCATAAAGAATTAAAATAAATTTTAAAATTTATAAATATCAAATTTTATAAATAAATGGATTGAGATAAGTAGAACACATGCGAAAATTGCTGCTTCCATCACTAATATGCACTTAAATTTTCATCTAAAATATTTTATTGCATAAATATATTTAAATTATATAATGGATTGTAGTGGAGAGCTAGTGCATGCAATTTTAAACATACCTATGCTAAACTTGTTATGCGTAGTTAATTTAATACACATCTGTCTCAAATTCATTTACTAATATTCAAACTTACTCTAAATGAGTTTTTATAGACACTTTGTTGAATTTATTAATTAATTATTTTTAAATTAATTAATTTAGAGTATTAATATCTTTTATTGGCCATTATTGTTTAATTAATTATTTTTAAATTTATTGCAATACAATGTAAAGTATTATTGTGTATATTGTGTGTTAACTTTTTATTTATTAAAATATCGAAAGAAAAGTTTTAAACAGATTATTAGATAATCGGTGCAAAAGTAGAAAAAAAAAAAAAAAAAAAAAAAAAAAAAAAAAAAAAAACAACCATCGAAAAACCTCCTCCATTTTCTTTGGGGGCCTCATAACTGGTTCACCTAAAAAGCGAAAATTGTTTTTAAAAGTATAGAATTTTTTATTAAAGCAAAATATTTTCATGAATTAGGATGACCGAGTGGTCTAAGGCACCAGGCTTAAACTTTCGGTGCAAGGAAAGGGCGTCGGTTCAAATGCCACTTTGACAATTTAACTTTATTTTACTTTTTGTCTAATAGAAAAGAATTAACTCATAATTATTTGAATTTTTGTATAATTATAATGCTTAATTTTGCTCCAATATCTCACAAATTTCCAAAGACCATATAAATGTATATCTGAAAATAACAATGTCAAATTATTAAAATATTTTACAATTTACCAGACCATTTCAATATATAACTTAATAGTGTGAATATAACATGAATATTAAATAAAACAGTTCTAATGCAAAAGTTATGATTTTGATCATTAACAATTAGTTGGTCATGAGTTTACCAGAATTTCATGCAAATATTGATTAGAAAGAAAACATATAACTAGTTAATTGCATAACTGTTTTATTAGATATAACTTGGTAGAATTTCAAATATATAATTTTGTATAAGTTTTAAATTTATTAATGTTTTTAATTTTTTTTTTTTGCAGAAAATTGGCAAATTATTGATAAAAAATTTAAGATAAATATATCATAATATTTTTATAGGAATAAAAAAAATACAAATATAGAAAACTAAAATTTTTTATTTAAAGACAATCAATAATAGCAGAAGAGATTAATCTTTTATATAAAAAACTGATCATTTTTCATGTAAGACGATAAACAATTTCGTCCGTTTGAAAACTCGTGGGACACAATAAGAGATACCGAAACGGTAACAATATTAGGAATATATAAATGCAAACCGTAAGTAATATTTAAAAGTAAATGTTTTATTTTCTCCTTTCAACTCCATTATTTAGTTTTTTTTTTTTTTTTTTTTTAATTTTCTCCTTTCAACTCCATTATTAGTTTTCTTTTTTTTTTTTTTTTTCATGCATGGTTTTCCTTATTTGATTGTAGAGGGAAAAAAAAACCAAATTTTTTTTTTTTTTTTTTTTCATGCATGGTTTCTTATTTGATTGTAAGAGGGAAAAAAAAAACCCAAATTTGAATGTGTTTGTAGCTAGTTCAACTGATGCAATTGATATTAATAATTAATAATAATAATGATAAATGATGTTCTTGTGATAATGGATGATAGATGTAAGTTTATAAAATTAGGCCTTGTTTAGTAATAGCTTATGAGGCAGCGTATAGGGATTTAACCAAGTTCAAAACACTATTTTTTTTTGTTCGGTGATGTAATGTTATAGAAGTAGTAGAGTTTGAGTTATTGGGCTAGACAATTAGCAGCTACTAAAAGTCTAAGAGTCTATTTCGTGAATTTAATTTTTTTTATAACTGTCGGCTGTTAAATATTAGTGGTTAGTGATTAATGATTATATAGCGGTTTATGATAAAAGTGTTCGATACAAATAACTATTTGATTAATCGACTAATATAAAATAACAAAAAAGATATGAAAGCGAGGAAAAAAGGTAAAAAGACAAGAAGTGACGGGTATATATGTCACAAAGAAATTATAACATGCTAAACGTTAACGAAGATAACCTTCATAAAATATTATCTTAAATTCTATTACCAGACGCTATAATTAATTAAGATAGTATTTCAATCATATCAAAACATTAAATATTACTCGAAACACAGTCAGTAAATTTTTTTGCCTATGGGGGAAATTTTTTATTTATAAGAATAAAAAATTAATTTTAATATTTTTTTTACTTTCACCCTTATCCTCCCCACCTTACTCTCTCAATTCCAAAATCAGCAGTGATACATGGAACGACTCGATCCCGGCACGGTATATATTTTATTATTATAGGTGGGCCATGGTAGATTTTAACTGAATCCCCGTTTAAGAAAGGAAAAAAGGATGGTAAGTGCAGTAAAGGAGGGGTAAAGCAGACAATTCCCTTAAAATTGATTGGTGAAGTTTGTTCGTCTTGCTAAGCTTAACTTTAAAAGAAATATATATATATATTTTTTAACTTGAGAGGTCCAGAGGGTACTGCTCTTTACAAGTTTGCTTTAATAGCTTGTTTTAATAGGGATGGGGCAATTTTTGTAGATAATACCATTTTATTCCTTTTTTTTCTTAATTTGCCTTACTTAAAATTTGAAATGTGACTCTTTTTTATTAAAAATTAAAAGAATTAAATAATTGCCGCATTTTCAAATTTTCTATCTATTTTAATGCAATTTAGATATTTATTTCAATAATTAAATTTTATAATAAATTCATTTAAATAAAATATTAATTATTACTTCCGTCATATTTATAATAGGATTTGAAATTCTAATTAATTTAAATTTTCATATATTTCTATTATAAAATTTTATAATGTCCTCTTAGTATATTACATAAATTTTAAATTTTATATATGAATTTGATATTTCTAAATATTATTAAACAGTAATATAATTATGTCAACATACCCGAGTCCGGTCTAAGTTTAAACCGCCGTGCAACTGTAACTTAGCATTTGTCTAAGCTACAAAGTGAAGGCGAGTGGTAATCCACTGGCGGTTGGACCTGTTATCTTTTACATAATTGTTAGACTTGTTGTACAAAAACGGATAGTTAAAATATAACTAATTAACTCTGACCAATACTTTGCAAGTTTGAATTAAAAATCAAATTTGACAAAATGCAGACTAACTCTGACCAATAATTTCCATTAAAAATCAAATTTAATAAAATAATTTAATTTGTTATATAATATCAATAACTAAACACATTAAGTTATATCCCTTTAACCTATAATTTTTATCATAGTTTGCTGATAAAAAAAATAACATAGTTTTTTTTTTAGAAGAAAAAAATTTTCTTTTTAACCGAGAGAAGAAAATTTTATCGTAGTTTTTTTTTTAGGAAAAAAAAATTTATCATAATTTGACTTGCACATATATTAAAAAAATTTAATTAATACAGTAAAATTATACTTATTTTATTTTTCCTAATATACTCTTATATTAATTTCGTCCATATATGGTCATTAATGGCTCTAAACAAGTTAATTTAGTGTACTAGTGTCTTACCTTTGTGAGTTGTCCTCAAAAAATTAATTTTTCTCTATAAATTTATTTTTATAGTTTTTTATTTTCCTTCTAATTTGAAGAGAAAATTATCAGAATTCTTTTCTCTTATATTCCTTTTTTTATTTCCAAATAAAATAGTTTTTTCTTATTAATATTAATTTAGTTTTTTTTCCTCATATATGATATTATCTAAAAATATAATTGCTTTGTTTTTCCTTTATAATTTGCACGATGCGCATGATAATATTAAAATATGAAATAGTATTTTATTGCATCATTCAAAAATAGTAAAATTATATAATAAAATGATAAATTGTATCTTATTGAAATAATTCAAAAATAGTAAAATTATATAATAAAATAATAAATTGTATCTTATTGAGATATATTGAAAAGTTGTGATATTAAGATATATCTTTATCATGCGAAGCTTTTCATAAGATATGCAATAGTAAAAGTCATGCATGATATGACTTACATAAAAAATGCATACACGCTATTAATATATTTTTCAATATTACTATAATTTTGAGAATTTAACAATAGAAATAAGAAATTAAATATTTTTTATTTTATATTTATGATTTATTATAAATGATTATTAATTTATTTGAAATATTAATGTATTACTTATTTAGTAGAGTATGACATAAGCATATGGATTTCCTACTTTTTAAAAATTATCGTACATGTACGTTCCCGTATCTCGTGTTTCGTATCCATGCAACTTAACTCCTTGTATATGAGACAACTCTTTACATTAAGCTAATCAACCAAGGTTTTTTTTATTACCAATAAAATAAAATGTTTTTTAATACGCTTTTGTGTCATTGAAATAAGAAATTAAGTATTTTTTTATTTTGTGTTTATGATTTATTATAAATGATTGTTTATTTATTTGAAATATTAATGTATTATTTATTTAGTATACTATGTCCTAAGCATGTGAATGTCCTACTTTTTTTAAAAAATTGTTGTGTCTTTATGTTCTCATGTCTAGTGTCTTGTGTCCGTGCAACCTAACTCCTAGTATAGGAGACTACTCCTTACACCAAGCTAATCAACCAAGTTTTTTTTTTATTAACAATAAAAATAAAGTGTTTTTTTATTTGGTTTTGAGTCCTTGAAATAAGAAATTAAAAAAAAATATTTTATGTTTATAATTTATTATAAATTATTATTTATTTATTTAAAATATTAATGTAAAATTATTATTTATTTATTTAAAAAATACTTAATGTAATTAAATTATTTAGTGTAGTATGTTCTAAGCAATGTGGATACCAATACTTTTTTTTTTAAATTCCTATCCCAATACGCCTTCAATTTAATATTTTTTAAAATTGCTTATATATTGTTTAATTTATAAGTGATATATTATTTTATTTTCACTCTTTAAAAAGCTGTGGGAAATTACTTATTAATTATTTTGAAGGATAAAATAAAAATTTAGTATATTATATTAATATATTAAATTAAATGCTAGATATAATCTTTTTTTTATATATATATTATCTTGATAGAGGTATTTTCTAAAAATATAAAACAACTGATATCTATACAATTTTTACAATTGTGCTTAATTGTGTAAATTCTAATATCCGTTATTCTATAATCCGAAATGATGCCAAGTGGTAAACTATGTTACTTACACTTGGCTTCCATATAAAACAAACTACCCTACTTTTATATATTATATAGATGGATATAGATTTTTGAATTATGATAATAATTTTTAGAATTTAACTTATTATATTAAAATAAGAAATTAAGTATTTATTATTTATTATAAATCATTGTTTATATATCATCATATTCCATACATTCTATATCTTGCGTCTTATGTCTGTGCAACCTAACTTCTGGTATATAAGTCTACCTCATACATCAAGGTAATCATTAAAGTAAGAAATTAAATTTTTTTATTTTATAGTTTAGGTTATCTGTATTTTAATTTAAACTAATTATATTAAACTTTTTATTTTATATTTTTTATTTATTATAAAACTTTTTTATAATTAATCATTTTTATTTATATAAAATGATTATTTATTTATTATCAATATAATCATTCCGTATCTCGTGGGGCGCTTATGGTCCCGTAATCAGAACCTAGCTCCTGTGGTATAAATTTGGTTATTTGGTATTTTAATTAAATTATTATTTAAAGCATTATTGAATTAGACGAGATGTAATTAAGTTAGATATGTATCACATGATAAAACGCATTATGTATAAATATAAAACAATTTATCTTCTTAACAGATTACTGTTAATCTTTATCTTTTTACAACATTGCTAAATGATTATTGTTTCTTTTTCACGCTTACAAATTTGAGAAGCTTAACTTATGTTACATAAATCCAAAACTTTCTCCCGCAATAATATATTTATATATATAATAATATATATAATATACTATCCAAAACTGTTCATTGTCCATTTGGAACGATTCGTTCCATTAATAATTTCCTCTTCCAAAATCCCCACCTCTTTCTCAAATCGCAGTTTCCAGCCCAATTTTTACTACAAATCAAAATATAATCTATATTTTTTTTTTTTTTCCTTCTTGCCAATGAAGGCAGTCAAAAGAACTGACCTATAAAAAAATCAATTAATATATAATCCAAACTGTTCATTGTTCCATGGAACGATTCGTTCCATTAATAATTTCCCTTCCAAAATCCCATCTCCTTTCTCAAATCGCAGTTTCCAGCCCAGTTTTTACTACAAATCAATATAATCTAGTATTTTTTTTTTTTTCCTTCTTGCCAATGAACAGTCAAAGAACTGACCTAAAAAAAATCATTATCTCAATCCTGCTCCCTTTCTCTTAGTGTTAGTTGGTGCTTACCCATGAGCTTCAGTTTAGCGCGCTTCCTCCTCAAATTTGGAATTTCTTCAAACATCAACGCCAACTACGGCTTTCTTCTTATAACTCCCAACAAACGCAAATTTACAGCAACTGCCGCCTCTACAGCTCACGAGGTTTTTAACTTATCTCGGCCTTATAGTACCTGTAATGTTTCTCTCTTAATTTGTTTATTTCCTCCTTTTTTTTCTTTAAATCTTTTTCCATTTTGATGATAGTCGAACCAGGAGCTACTAGTGGTGGTTGGCGGTGGAGCAGCCGGAGTTTATGGGGCAATTAGAGCCAACACTTTGGCTCCTAATCTTAATGTGGTGATTATAGAGAAAGGAAAGCCTCTATCTAAGGTTTTGGATTTTTTTTTTTTAAATTAACTTATATTCATGTATTATTTCCATTTTTCTTGGCTGGTATGTATAATATGCTGGTGATTGTTTGTTTTTATTGACAGGTGAAAATATCTGGAGGAGGTAGATGCAATGTTACAAATGGGCATTATACTGATCATATGGTAAGAAATTGTTATCTTATCAGTTGAGATTTCTTTCAATTTTGGAACATTCTGCACTTCTTTTGTACTATAGTGCATGAGTTAGGAACTCTTTTGTGAGATTAGAAGTATGGAATGGATATTGTCAATTGATTTTAGAAAGAAAAATACCATATGCCAGGGCTTGTTTTATGAGAAAATATATTATTCTCATGAGATTTCATCTACCACTATTGGTGAAACATAATAGTGGTTGAATTTTTAGATTCAATTTTTGAGTGCACAACAGAAAATGAATGTGGATGCTTAGAAGTTTAATAAATGTATGGAGCTTTGAAGTTAAAAATTTTGATTCAGTAATACCCTGAAGAGGGAAGAGAATATCTGGATAATCATATTTGCTTTTATTGCTGTGTCAATGTGAAAAAGTTTTTTGAGCTGCAAGGGACAGTTTAATATAATATTCAACTTAGAGTATTATCTAATGTTAAAAAAGAAAAAACAAACTCAAGAGTAATATTTTTACAGAACTTACTTCCTTGTCCTACTTCTTATTTGAATCTGGTAATTATTTAGAGTGGAAGATTCTAGAGTAATATGAACACGAGTGAACTTTGATTAGCATGAATTTGTCAGAGGTCATGAACTTTGTTTAAAATCTACAAATAGACGTTACCCAAAAATTTCGTATGATATTTAAACACTGTAATGAACAAGTTTGACTTCATTCATATGTTTAATTCAACCTGTAATTTGTATTAAAGTATATATAATAGGTTCTAATCAGCATCAACTAACTGAAATTGTTGTAAATACTTGTAAATTGAGAATCTTGTGAGTATTCCTTGTTCATTATTTTTTTGCAGGTTTTGGCAGAGCATTATCCTAGGGGTCATAAAGAATTGAGAGGATCTTTCTTCAATACACATGGCCCATTGGATACTATGTCTTGGTTTTCTGATCATGGGGTGGCATTGAAGGTTTTCGAGAAAACTTCATAAAATATGTTAATTCTCTTATTCTGCTTATGTGATTTATGCTTATCTGCCTATAGATTGAGGATGATGGAAGAGTGTTTCCCATCAGCAATAGTTCATCTTCAGTTATTGATTGTCTTCTAACAGAGGCAAAGCGGAAGGAAGGTAGTTTCTTATATATTTTCATTTGTTGGTCTCAACTTAAAATAGGCCTTTTGATCTCTCTCTTTCTCTCTCTCTCTTATTTTCTTTCTGTTTCTTTTTTTTTTTTTTTCTTGTAAGTATTTGTTTAGCATATGACACAGGTATCTCAGTAGTGTAGGAGATTAATCCTCACACTGAATAAATTTATATGAGATGTTAATGTGATAAATCTTCAAGAAACATGTGAAGGAGATTAATAGTTTTTCTTTTTAGTCTTGGCCTCATCTAAAGTTATACTTATTTTGTTCCTTCTGTTAAATGCATTTTAGACTGTTTAAATAAGAGCCTTCTCCATAGTAAGGAAATTTTCAAAGCTGTGCAATCTGAAATGTGAGTTCCTTATCAGTTTCTCTGCAAACTGGAAAAGTTGTAACAAATGCGTCTATCAGTGCGGGTGGAAAGTTTCATCTGAAGGTTGAGAAACGTACAATTGATTATGTTGAATCTGTTGAAGCTGATTATCTATTGATTGCCAGTGGGAGTAGTCGACAGGTAATAATGGATGAACTGTTCACTTGCATCATCATGACTATAGCTGAGATCCCTGAGACAGTTCTCTCTCTTTTTTTTTACCCTTTTCATAGGGTTATAATCTTGCAAATCAGCTAGGTCATTCAATTGTTGATCCAGTACCAAGCTTATTCACTTTCAAGATTGAAGATAAACAGCTTGCGGAGTTAGCAGGGGTAAAGCTTCCTAGTAATCAGTTAAGATTTTGCCATGCTACTTTCAAAAGTTGGTGTTTCTAGTTTTATTGTTTTATGTGTACTATGTGTATTCAAGTCAAAAAACTGTTATTTCCTTAGTATAGTTGCTCATTGACAATTTTCTCTGTCCTTGAGTTTCAGAATGAAAATAAAAAGAAAAAGAAAAGAAAAGGAAAAGGTCACATAGTAACATTTTTGTTGTAATTATAGCTCTACAAACTAATAAGTGATATAATTGATGGTTGTACACCTTTTAATCATCCATAAAGTAATGTTTGCAAGTATAACTGCAATATAGTCAAACTGTGTGAGTGCATGAATTCTAATCATGCTCTATTAGTATTGACATGTATTTGTTTATTTAATTTTTTTGAGCAGTCACCTCTGCTTATACATGCCCCAACTTTTTTTTTTTTTTTTCATTTTATTGGCAGTGAGTGGCATTTTGTTGAACTATGTTATGTAAATTTCTGTTAATTTATTTGTTATTACAGAAATAATTCGCCTTCATACAATTCTGTCTTAGGGAGCAAAAATGCAAAATATGTTTTGCCTCGGTCATAACTGTGACAGTGAATTTATTTTGAATTTGATATATTACTGATATCCTACAATTTTCTTGTGCAGTGGATATCCCGCTTTTTCCATTGTCAGTTTGGTGTCATGGAAAATATTTTGACAATTTTGTTTATATATACATTTTTTTTTCTTTTTTAAGTTTCGTCCTTCATCAAGACATCTAGATACATATGCATTGCACATATCCAGGCTCTCTGGAAAACTTGCTGAGTATTAACTAGTTAAATTGTTCTTTATTAACTTTGTTACTTAAGTTTTGCTTCTTCTAATTCTCAGGTTACATTTCCTAAGGTTGAGGCAAAGCTGAAATTAGAAAATGTCCGAAGGAATATACCACACCTTACACAGGCAAGCTTTTTCAAAAACTATAATGTAAATGCATATACACATTCTATGCCTTAATAGGAACTTATGAAACTCAGGTTGGTCCCATGTTAGTCACACATTGGGGACTTAGTGGACCAGTAATTCTTCGGTTATCTGCTTGGGGGGCGCGTCATCTGTTTTCTTCAGTTTACAAAGGTATTATCAGAAACTTTATCTCTCTCTGTCTCTCTCTCATTTAGTAACTTCATTGGATATGAATGCAGGAATGCTTATGGTGGATTTTATACCTGACTTGCATATAGAAAGCATAAAGTCAATCCTCAGTCAACACAAGATTAAATTTTTGGTAATCTTCAATCACGTTTTTTGCATATAGTAATTGCAAGTTTTGGAAAGTCATACTAAATGAGTCTGAAATTGAATTTTTGACTGTGGATCATGAAGTCAAGGGGTTATTTCACGATAGTCCTTGGAAAACTTAACTCTGTATCTGGGTTGACCCATGTAGATGTTTAAATTTTATAAGTTGCCTTGTCAATTTAAGTTAGCAAACCAAGACCATGAGTACACAGAACTTTGGAAATAGGCATTAACTTCACATTAGCATGAGAAGAGTGAGGAAGGAATCATTTTTCCTTCAAATGATACCTTTCAGCAAATATAACTGGCAAAAACTGGTCGATGAAGGGTATCAAAAACCTTGTCAAACATGATTCATGATATCTTGTTGGCCTCCTCCTGAAATAGAGATAAAAATTAGTTTTCTACAAAGACAATGGCATTAGAAAAAAAATGATTTTGCAATACTAGCATTTCTATGTTTTCTTGTAAATTATTGACATACTTCATTTATGTTTTTTTTAGGAATGCAAGTTAGCAGAATAGTGTTATTTTTACTTCTAATGTTGTATTTACTTGTTTGCAGAAGCAAAAAATAGTCAATTCATGTCCTTCAGAATTTGGCCTTCCAAAGAGATTTTGGAAATATATATTGGATCGTGAGGTACTTGGATGTTTCAAACCAACTTATCATGTACTAAATGATTCCTCATAAAAGTATCTGCAAAATTCAATTTTTGTTGTTGATATGCAGAATGTAATTGGAGATACCTTGTGGGCTTCCATATCGAATACCTCCATCATTTCCATTGCGCATCTTTTAAAACACTGTACATTTGGAATAATGGGAAAGGTACAATTCTGCACTGTGAAATCTAGGCTCTGTTCCTAATATTTTTTCCATACTTTCTTTAAATGGTATGCATTTATACCTACTGTAGGGTCAATTTAAGGATGAATTTGTCACTGCAGGAGGTGTTCCATTGTCCGAGGTTCTCTCCCTCCCTCCCTCTTTATCTCTCTCTCTCTCTCTCTCTCTCTCTCTCTTGTTTATTGAAAATATTCCTCTACTTGCTTTTTCTTTCATGAAGATTTCATTGAACACAATGGAAAGCAAGATCTGTTCACGGCTTTTCTTTGCAGGAGAGGTATTGTCCCTTATCATCTTAGATCTTTTTGCTTCTTATTTCTTGTTTGAGTGAGCTACTAGGAGACATTGTTCAATGTAGATGCGACAATTGCAACTTCCACACTGAATTTAATTGCCCAAATGTCCATTATTTTGTGAGTTCCTGCACAAGTGTGAATGAGTACTATCTTTTTTCTTTTCGGGTGTAAAGATTAAACATCAATTGCAGGTGCTGAATGTTGATGGGGTGACAGGTGGTTTTAATTTCCAGGTACAAAAATCATTCTTTCAATATATAATATAATGTAGTATAATGATAATATATTTATAAATAAACTATGTAAAGCTATAGCAAATGCAGTAACTCTGTTTTTTGTCTTGAGGATATCGTATTTTGTAATTCAGTTTTATTCACTGTGCAAATCTCTTTCTGCTAAATTTTGCACAGAAGTTGAATGTGTGAAGTTGCAACTAGGTCTCTAATTAATTAGATATGGATTAATTTTCCTATTTAACATAGTTTTGAACTGTTCCATTAGTAGGCCAAAGTAATTTCGTAACAATGGCAATAATTTATTTACTAGATTGGTAGTTCTCATTCGAATCTCTCAGATTGTTACCAGAATTTTGAACTTTTAACAGAGCAAATTAATTCTGCAACCCTTTGTGCTTTTTCACCAATGACTGAAATATTTAAAATACCGAGGACAATGCATTCTACAGATTTTTGACAAAATTTTGGAATTATAACTGCTGGAATGTCGTACCCCTCTCTATTCACCACACTCTTGTTCTGTTGATACTAAATTGCACCATCAATTGTTCTCTTTACAGAATGCGTGGTCTGGCGGATACATTGCTGGGACAAGTATTGGTGAACTAGCAGTTGAAGATAGTCTAAAGGAGGAAGTTTTATGAGTTGAAAGTCAGTCCTAACATTATCCTTTTTTCACTTTATGAGAAGTTGTACCTGAATGTTTCATTTTTCATATTGTTTTAGCTTTTCTTCATATGCATGTTTGCTCAACAGTACACAAATAAAATTTACTACACTAGTCATCAACATTATATTCTTCTCTACCTGACATCTTTTTGAAGAATGCCAAATTGGAATAAAGGTTAATTCAACCCTCAACTTGTTTAGAAAGATTAAAAAGCTCGTATTTTACCTTTTGGACTAATTTAACACCTACGCATGTTTAAATTGATTAAAAAGGCCAAATTTTACCTTTTGAGCCGATTTCTCAAATTTTTCTTAACATTTCTAAATAAAAGTTTAAAATCTATAAAAGTACTACTTTCCAACACAGTAAAATTCACAAAATATGTAATATAACAATGATTTGCTCAATATGAGAATGCATGGATTTCATATATGATAAATCAGTAACAAAGGTTTTAAAATATTTAAATTAGTATAAATTTATGATTTGCTCAATATGAGAATGCATGGATTTCATATATGATAAATCAGTAATAAAGGTTTTAAAATATTTAAATTAGTATAAATTTACGAATCCAAGATCATCGGTTAAAGTAAAGAGGGGTATAGTATATTTCATGAATCTCTTTCGTCTATTCGATATTTCATGCATCTTTTTTTAGTTTTAATCATGGGATAAGTTAAGTTTAGGGGGTTAAATTGATTAAGACGGAGAAATGTTACATTTTTAATCCCAATCTAATGTATTGGAATATCCTGAATTTTGCTGGCTTTGCAATTTCTCCATATTTTGACCTTTCTGTTAATTTTAGCCCATTTTGAGTTTTTGTAGTAATAGCATCCTCAATTGCAACTAAAGAAAACTACAAATAAAAAATTATTTCCATTCTTTTCTAGAAAAAAATTAATAATAAAAATAAAATAATTAAGTATCTTTTGAATGTCAAATTATATTCATATCTAGTGGGTAATGAATTTATAAATTTAGGAATATGATATTTGAGATATGTGCAATCAAAATATTATTCATTTTTTATTAAATGATCAATGATTTGACTATATATAAACTAGTAGTTCTTCCGCGCTTCGCAGGTATTTATATATAAATACATTTTTCATAAAGTTAGAAGATAAATAAATAGATAAGTTGAGTTTTGAAAAAAAATGAAAGTAATCTATATCTATATATTAATAAAAAGATAAAATTTTTCAATTTAAATAAATATATAGATAACTGAAGAAAAAAAATATTTAAAAAAAAAAAAAGAAGATAGACATAGTTTTGAAAAAAAAAAAGTCATAATTATTTAATTATATATATATTTTTTAAGGAAATAATAATTTCTATAAACTAAAGGCTATCAAACTTTAAAGCATCAATAATACAAATAGGTGGTAAAATAATTCATTGCAGTCAATCTGATATAGAATGAATTGCCCTTACTAACACGTGAGCTACTTCATTCGCATATCTACGGACAAAAAGCATTTGACCATTACTTATCTATGTGATTAGAGATTTAGCATCATGAATAACGGACCCACCCAAAATAACTAACATCTCCATTACTGTTAGCATTGATAGCTTCTTTTATCACCAATTGGGCATCTAATTCAACTTGCACATTTTTCCATCCATTGTCTTTAAAGCAACTTAAACTTCTCGAATTGCCACAACTTCGGCTACCTTAGGATTAAAATGGCCAACTATCTTTTTACTTGGAATATACCAACAGCGCCTTCACAAATTTTAATTGCAAAATAAAATATAATAATACTCTATGTAATTTGACTGATCTTCTTAGAATTTTCTTTGAGATTTTCTTTCATCCTCTCCTTTCCCTGCTCATATGCCATCTAAGGCATAATTGAAAATTTCGTGAAATTCAAGAGTTGTAGCCATTTTAAGTTTCTTGCAAGGATTGAATTGTACTGCAAATATGAATTACACTGCAAATATGATGCACAAGCAATTTTAAAAAAGTTAGAACAAACGAAAAGTACCTAAGCAACCGGCATAAGCAAATATTACTTAAAATGGAAAAAAAAAAAAAAAAAAAAAAAAAAAAGAAAAAAAAAAAAAAAAAAAAAAAAAAAAAACGCAAACGCACTTACTTGATTAACAGCAGGAGAGATCTCTGCTATACCAAGAATATCTGAAAGCTTCTTACAGACGCTAATTAATTTGGTAACCCTAGTTTTTGACACTCTTCCATTGCTGCCCTTACCCCTTTCTCATTGATCCAATTGGAGAGCCCTGCACAACAATAAAATAATTCATAGCTGGCATGCTCAATTTGTCAATAGTTAGAAACCAAAGACTTGAAAGTCGGACATCCTTAATCGCATTACTCAGTTTGCCAATACAAGAAATGACAGCTCAATTCCAATGATATAAATAGGTTGGATTAAAGAGAATTTGTATTGTATTCAAATTGATATTTTTTTTGGTTAGTGTTTATCTAAATGAAAATTGAATTTTAAACATTTTAAAAAGCCTAATTATCTATATATCAATTTTAAAAATTAATTTTTTTAAAAATATACATCTAATCGGATTGCAGAAAAATAAAAAAATTCTAAAAAAAAAGAGAAATGCAATAGTGATTGTTGAGAGAAGTTTTGAATCCTCTCTTTCTTTTAGCTTTCATATATATATTATATATATAGATTGTTTATTTTTTCTAATTCGTTAGATGATGTTGCTCACTCTATTTCAAAAAAAAAAAAAAAAAATGGAAAAAAAAAAAAAACAAAATGGTCTAAGCCAAGTACAATTTGAATCTTAACCCAAGAATTTTATTCAATTTGTTGTGGATAATTGGCATAATTGTAGACGATATTTTCTTTAATTTTAAAGGATTAGCTAAAAAAAAAAAAAAAAAATGGTTAAGCCAAGTACAATTTGAATCCTTCAACAAATAATTTGTTGTGGATAATTGCATAATTGTAGACGATATTTTCTTTAATTTTAGGATTAGCTAATATTTTGTGGGCTTTAATATGCAACTTGTTGCAAGATTACTCTAAAATGCTGGGCACCCCATTTAAAATACTTACACAATAAATTGATATTTTCATAAATATGTAAACTAAATAGAATAATGTATAAAATTAAAATTCAATCAAAATAAGTTTATTCATTTTAGCTATTTTTATGTAAATTTAAACTTACTTCTAAGTTTAATAAAAATCCAACTGAATTAAAAAATTAAAATTAAATTAATTATATAAACGAATCAAATCGAATCAATTCAGGTTTGTCAAGTTCTTCTTTCGGGGTCACCAACTCCTAATCTTGTAAAGGCTCTACCATTTCGAGAAGCACCAAGTTGGGTTAAGCAACATGGTTTTACAAGTGCGGTGTTTGAATCTAACTCCCAAATATTAGTTCAAGCTATGTATAGGGGTCTCAAGATAATTCTTATTTTGGTAGTCTTATTTTAGAATGTAAATCTTTAACTGAGGAACTTGTAAATCTTTAACTGAGGAACTTGCTTACGTTTTGTTCGGATGAAAAAAGAGAGAGATCATTAAAGTAAGGTATAGTAAAGTATGGTACGAGAAAATATGGTAAATGTCTTTTTTATGTTTGTGGATAAGGGATGATAAATGCAGATTTAATAATATTGTTTTGTTTGGTTTGATGGTAGAGAAAGGTAATGTTAAATATAAAAATTACAAAATACCATTGTCATGAAAGATTTATAAATATAATTGTGAATAATTTTGGAAATAAAAAATTTTAACCATGCTTACACCCCAATAGCCGGTTGAAAATTGAGTTGTTTAGATGAATTTTCAACTCTCAAATAATTTTCAAAAATCATTATCTTCCTCAAACTCTCTTTTCCAAACGCCTAAACAACCTCTTTTGCTCTTTAAACCCACCAAATAACCTCCACTCAAACAATCTGTTATAGTTATGTGTTTTATAAAATGGTCAACGAATAGAATTGCTCATCTATTAGCAACTCATTCTTTTTATGAGTCTGGTCGTATCCCTTTCAGTTTTTATTGTTGATGCATTGAGGTTTAATTTGCAGTAATGAAGTTGATTGCTTAAAGAAAAAAACGAATGGATTTAATTTAATTGATTTGTTGGGTTTTCTAGAACTTCACCCTTATGGAAGTTCATCTTTCACATAAAAAGAACTTTATACAAAAATTTTAATTAAAATAAAATAAAATTTAGCCAAAACAGCAAGTCAAATTATTTTAGCAAAATCAGTGGGCATACAAAACTAAAACTATATATTATAATCATTAAATTAAGAGGGTGAGGGGACCAATGGAATTAGGTAGCAAATGACACGTGAGATCCCACTTCTTCTTTATTGTATTATCTATATCCTTACTTTTTTGTCACATTATGTTCGTTTTTCATAGGTCCAAAAAGCTTATTATAATAAAATATATTTGAGAAACCAAAACGACACGGACTAATCTTACGTCCGTTATAAAGAACTAAAAAGGAAAACTCTCTTCAATTCAAAAGAACTTTTACACGTCTCTTTCCTTTTGTTTATTAATTTTGTTTTTTTAAAAGAGAAATTGCATATTCCAGAATCATATATTCATCTCTTTTCATATCCAAATTCCAAACAGAGCCTTCGCTCGCTAACAAAATCTATTTCGGTTCGTCTCGCTCGCTCGCCTTCTTCTTGCCGCCTGTGACTTCCGTTCGCTTCTGCTGTTTGAGCTCTCGCTTGTTGCTTGTGTACAGGGAGAGATACAAGCCTCCGGTTTTGGTTATAGGGAGCAGAAAGAGATACGTAATTTAACAGAGAAGCGAGATGGAAGATGAAGAAGGAAGAGGAGTTGAGAAGAAGATAACTATTGGAGTCTGTGTGATGGAAAAGAAGGTGAAATGCGGATTTGAGGTTCTAATCTTTTTAGCTTTGTTCTTAATAATATACGTACAGAATCTACTTAGAGAAACAAACAGAGTCTGAAACAAGTAAAGCAGGATTGGAATAATGTAGGATTTGTATGTGTTTGTTTATTTTTATTTTTTTTCTGAATTTTGTGTTTTTCTTTAGGTATCCTCGGCTCCAATGGGACGAATTATGGAGAGATTAGAGGCTTTTGGTGAATTTGAGGTACTTGAATTTTGTTGAACATTGAGTTTGGGATGAAACCGTGTTCCTTTTTTATTTTGCTTGAGTTTGAGTTTTTAATGTGACTGTTTTGTTGTGACTTTTATGTTTGAAGATTATACATTTTGGCGATAAAGTCATTCTCGAAGATCCAATTGAGAGGTACATTTTTTGAATCATTAGTTGAAACTATGTTTGATTATTGATTTAGCCTGAGAATGAATATGTTGTTCCTTTACTTGGCTTGTAGAGGCTGTGGATTTCATTTCCTGTGGTTGTTTGACTGTTCTTTAAAAGTCTGTTGATTAGTAGGTGATTGGAATTTTCTGTGAAAAGTATGTGCAGTAGGTTAACCCGTCAAGACACTGTTAGGTTGACTTTTTTGACTTTTTAGTTTGGCAAAGGCACTTACAAATTTTGAATGTTTAGTAAGAGCATACATGTCAAGCGTATACTTTTTGCATTTTGTGCTTTATTTGTATTTTGCCATGTGGTGGTTATTGTGATTCCTCAATGTTGCTAAATTGCTACTAGTGGTGGCAGCAACAGTGGCGGTTTATCAATTACAGCTATAATAGGTGCAGATGTAGTGGTGATGACAGTAGTGTTGGTCCCGAGTAATGATGACATCAATGGTCCACTGGCTGTGTTATCTTATCATGGTGGTAGCGATAGTGGCATGGATTTGAGGGTGAATAATATTTCTCTGGTCGTTGTTATAGTCTGATCATTTAAGAAAAGAAACAAAAAGCCTTTAATTTTCATAATGTACAGAGTATTTTGTCTTTTACTTTCTGATTGCGAAAAGGGGAAGAGTGTCTTTTAGCAATGCAAATTAACAATGTGTAAACTTTGCAACCTTTTCATGTTTACACTTGACTACTGAAGGTGATAACATTTTGATATGGTAACACAATAGAGGAGGTTCTGTGCTAAAAGTAAAGTTGATATTGTTTCATTACCTAATAGATGCAACCAAATAGGAAATATATTCAAGAACGAGGGAACATTTAGCAATCAAGAAGATTCTTTCTAGAATCGACAGAATAGCATCTTCCCCATCTGCCGCTCTTTCTTCTTCTAGCTGTAAGCATTGAATTTACATTTGCTTTTGCACATAAACCTATTGACCTTTTTTCTTTATGTTTCCCACTTTCTTATCTTATTATTTGGCTGTAGTTTTCCTTCTAAGGTTAGAGTTTTAGTGGCAAATTATTTGGTTAATATTCGTTTCTTTTCAACTTCATGTTGAAGTAAAACGAATGACAAGTGTGCTTGATCCTGCATGGATTTCAAAATTTAGTAATATAAAGGTGAAGGCATGATGGTTATGTTGCACATACTTATACTGGCGAGCAGTTATTATTGTTAACATTTTGTATAGATGTTGTTAGTCTTATCTCACCTAATCAATTTAAATTGTGGAGATTTGGAATTTGACAATTCAATTTTTCTCTGCAAGATGACTAATTGTTGCAGGATTTGCCTATTTCAGCTGGCCGATATGTGATTGCTTGATTGCCTTCCATTCCAGTGGCTATCCCCTTGAAAAGGCTGAAGCATATGCTGCTCTAAGGAAGTAAGTTTTACTTATTATTTTTATATCTTTTTCATATGACCAATTAACCGTAAATACTTCCCAATCCAAAGATAAGTAAGCTTGAAATGATTTCTCCCAATTCATCTTTTTATGCATAACACATTTTTTTTCTCGTTTACCATATGTGTATAATATATAATAGAACTTTTGTTGTGGATTTAGTTTTGCTTGCTAAATTATCATTCTAATTTGTTCACTGTTAATGATGTCAACTTATATCATTAACCATTCCAATTTGTTTACCCTTGTTTCATATGATTGCACTATGGATAAAAACACAATTCCATCAAACTCCATTGCTTACTGAAGTTAGCTAATGATTAGATAACTAATTAAGTAATAATGCAGTTCTAAAGGTAAAGTGGTCTCATGAGAATTTAGTGGCAATGTTGTATTTGCTTTCGTATATCATCAACTTTCAGATGCATCTTCCCTAAATTTTGAATCATTTATGTGGGATGCACTTTGACATATTGCTCATGTTCTTGATTCAGGCCTTATCTGGTTAATGACTTAGAGCCACAACATCTTCTTCATGACCGAAGGAAAGTATACCAGGTATTTGGTGCATGCTTCCGCCTTATTATCAAGACTTTTAAAGCTATTTTTCAGTCTTTTCACATGTTGCAACTACACATTGTTGTTTTCTTGTGGGAAAAACAAAAAAGCATTTTATAATTCTCTCTATTGAAGCATTTTTCTCATTCCACCCTCCCTTTCCAAGGGCAAGTTTTGCCCATAATCAGTGAATTCACTTCGGAAGAATGATCTTAAATTACTCCTTTAATTTATTTTCTAAAGTCAATAACTGTTTATGGATATCATTAAGCTGTATCATGTTCATAGTTAGTTCCTAATATAATAGTTGAATGTGAGACTAATAAATTTATTAATTTATTTTTTGGGGATTGCAGCGCCTTGAAATGTTTGGAATCCCTGTTCCAAGATATGCCCTTGTCAATAGAGAATTTCCATATCAAGAACTGGATTGTTTTGTTGAGGAAGAAGATTTTGTCGAGGTTCATGGTAATCGTTTTTGGAAGCCATTTGTGGAGAAGCCTATTGATGGTGAGCATATTACTTAATATACCATTAGTTTTCTAATTTATGCACTTGACCATGATGTGAATGTGCTCCTTTATTTACTTGATGCTTCAAGCTAGTTTTAATAACGAAAAAAGTATGATGGATTTTATTGCCCTTGACTTGGGGAAATTATTATGCGTTCACTGGATAATTGATCTGGTTTATATTTCCATTTTTCATGCAATCGAAAAAGCTTAGTAACATGCTTTAATAAAATGCATAAGTGAGCTGAGGAGACAATTATTTTTGCATAAAAGCATTGATCACATGCTTGCTTATTTAGGTAGCTTTACTAGTCTCTTTACTTTTGTTGTCCTGTTAATAAAGTGGACAGACCATGAAAGAAGATAGAAGAGGCAGTTGTAAATTTCATGTCTGTCAGCTGTGCAATTTTCTTTTCAATTATTGGTCATTACGAGTTTTCAGCCACCAATCTTAAGTACATTGATCAGGGTTTTAATAATGGAATCAGAAGCATTAATGTAAATGGAAACAGTGTCCAAAAATCAGTTTGAACAGGATTGGATCGTTCTAAATAGCTGCTGCTATGGTGAATTTTTAAAGTTACTCACAAAATAATTCAAATCAACAATAAACAATAATTGAATAAATATAAGTTGGAAAAAGAGTAAATAAAAATGGAAGATATTATGTTAATAATTAGAAAAAACATGAGAATCGAGAAATGGTCGTTTCTCATGTTTCATCTACTGTTTCTAGGTGATTGATCAATCACCCATAGAGAAACGGAAAATTATGTGATGGTATGCTAGAACTCTGTTATGAAATGCTAAATGGTTATGAAACAGCCACTATCTAAAACTGTGATGTGAAATATCAGTCTTAACTGTTGATAATGCTTCATCGAAAATGCTGAAAATTGGGAATATATAGAAATCACCTCTGCTGAATTGTGGCTTTCGCAGTATCAATGCTGGATTCTGGTCCCTCATAATTATGAAACAATGAGACACATTCTTTTGGTTAACATCTATAACATAAAAAATGCAGATTATGGTTTGTTTGTTATTTGGTGAAGCTCAGTTAAATGTGTGCCAATATTATGATTTTTTTTTAAAGATTGAGCTTGATAATGTCCTTAGTTTTCAATTTTCCAGAACTCCTCTAGTAAGATTTGGTTTGTTTTAACCATTAGTGACATTATTCTCTTTTATTAGGAATGTTCTTGGTACAACTGGATGCAGGCTTCTGTGTTAAATCAGTACTACCTATGGCGTTCTATTTGAAAATTTTTCTACCATAGTATTTTCTTTCATGTACATTATTGGCATTGGTTAGTAAAATGACCATATCTTTTGCAATAAGCCCATTTGATACTGAGTTACGTTTTGTGCTTTATGAAGGGGATGATCATAGTATCATGATATATTATCCCAGTTCGGCAGGTGGTGGTATGAAAGAATTATTTAGAAAGGTATGTTTACGTCTTGACAATCTTATGTTTTTATAATCCGGAGCAAAAAATACGCTCCATGTTTCTTCTCTGATGCTGGCATGTAAATCAGTAATTTTACTCTTTCTTAAATCCTAGGTGAATCTACTATTGAAAGAGATTTTTATCAGAATGAGTTTTCTGGTAATAGAAAAGGAAACTCAAATCTCTTTTTTTTTAGGTTACCTCTACTTGGTGTATGGCTGTGAACTTATTAAACTATAACCGTGTTATCAGAATTAAGATGTAATATTTGCATTAGACATTTCAGCATGTGCAATTACTTTTTTGTCTCAATAATTTATTTACTGATAAGTATCTATTTTCATTATGAATTACTTTGTATCTGATTGGTTCTGATTCAGGTTGGGAATCGGTCTAGTGAGTTCCACCCAGAGGTTAGAAGAGTGAGGCGTGAAGGCTCTTATATATATGAAGAATTTATGCCAACAGGAGGAACAGATGTCAAGGTTGCATGCTTGGCACCTATATTACTTCCTAAAATATGTTTGATTACTCTTAAATTTTGTTTGCCAATGAAGCACACATTCTTGTGCAATACTTTAACTATTTAACAGACTCTTTCAAACTGAAATTTGTTGGATCGGAGGCAGTGAGTTGCTTTAAACAGTTGGATTATTCTTCTAAGGTCCTTTGATGATTTTGTGAGATTTTATAAATTTTAGTAAATTTTCATTCTCTTTAGGTTGAAATTTCAATTAACTTTTTTTCTTCTTAAAATTGGAATTAACCGCTTCCATAAGAAAATGATTTATTGCACCCAAAGCCTGCTGTCACTCTTTTGTGATTGGTGTCTTCCATGCACTGTGTTGAGCACATGTGTTGTGACTGTAAGGGAGCATCCTTTCAATTGATTGACTATATTATTCCAAATATCTATTTTTTTCATAAACATATCAATTATAAGGAATTGAATTTGTGAAAAGTAAGATGAGTTTCTAGCTATATCAATTATTTTGTTTCTTGTATTGACTCATTGTTGTCTCAACTGGTCATTGCTTAGTATGCAGTTCGTAAATTGTTTTCAGTTCCTGCTATTCACTGCTGGTTGGTTTTGATTTTCGAGGTTATTTGTATCTCCAGTAATGCTTTTATGACTTCTTCTTCATATAGTTTTTCTTTGCATGCAACTTTTAATTCTGTAGCAATTAAATTGTTTATTTTCCAATCCTCATGAATGGTTGCTTTGGCATCTCATTGGCTGATTATAGGTATATACTGTTGGCCCTGAATATGCACATGCTGAGGCAAGGAAGTCTCCTGTTGTTGATGGTGTCGTTATGAGAAACCCTGACGGCAAGGAAGTAATTCCTTTAACTTATGCAGTTTACTAAGCATCTCTCTTCCATATATCCAAATACTTGAGACACAAATATTACTGTCACACACCCGAACACCTAACTTTGAGATACACAGATCCATTTTTTACTCTCTTATATGTCAATTCCCTGTTTCTCAAATCCCTGTTGTTGTTGATTCAAAAAAAAAAAAAAAAAAAAAAGTGAATGGTGTCGTTATAGCAAAACCCTGAACGCGCAAGGAAGTAATATCCTTTAACTTATGGCCAGTTTACCTAAGCATCTCTCTTCCATATATACCAAAATACTTGAAGACACAAAATATTTCTTGTCACACACCCGAACACCTAAGCTTTGAGATACACAGATCATTTTTATACTCTCTTAATAATGTCAATTCCCTGTTTCTCAATCCCTGTTGTTTTGTTAGATTCAAAAAAAAAAAAAAAAAAAAAAGGAAAAAAATCCCTGTCAAAAAAAAAAAAAAAAAAAAAAGGAAAAAAATCCCTGTCGTTACTCTTATTATTCTGGCAATATTTCTTTTTTATCTTGGAGATTTTGAAGTGTGCGAAAGCAAGATTTTTATGGATGTCACCTGTTCTTGGTAAATGGTTCATTCACTTCGTTCCATATGAGAAAAATTGATTTTTGTTACTAATCATTACTGAACTCTCCTATGGTTGATCTAAAGTCAAATGAATGCCAAAAAGTGTGGAAGAAGTATCATGAAATACCTTAAGCACTATCATATGAATGTTGAGATGATTTGGCGACGTGTAATGGAGTTGAGTGCCTGCCCTTGTGAAGACTTGTATATCTGATTGAAGGTGATGAAATGACAGAGAGGACAATAGCGTTAAACTGATATTTAATGAAATTATTTTGTTCGTCAATGTGAAATATTGCACTTGCTTACTTGTGTTGCTGGCTGTCATCAATATAGTGCAGTTACTCTTCAATATCTTCTCTTCAGATTTATCTAGAACAGAAAACAATTAATGTTGTCTGCAGGCTACCACTAGTCTTCAATTTGATTATCAGTATAGTTGTCAGCAGCATGTTCTTAGTTCCTATCTTTTCCGCTAACTCTGGTTAGTGGATTGGTCATTTTAAATTTTGCTTAATGTTAGGCAAGCATCAGTCCCTTGGTTGATGAGTCATAGCGGAGCCATGTGGCAAAGTCTTTCGGTGAGAGGCTTCACAAATTAGGAAACTTTAGAAGCATGAGGGTCAGGATTTAGCTTATTTATTTATTTTTATTTTTTTCAAGGTCCGGAGTTTGTTGAGAAACAGTGAAATTTGATGACAAAAGGGTAAAATGGTGAAGGAAACAAGTAGCTGGAATTTTCAGGGATCGACTACTATGCGGGAGGGCTCCCGGGGCGCCGCACGGGCGCAGTGCTGCGCGAGACTCTATGCCCGTGACACATGGGTCTCTTAGAGGAGAGTAAAGAGAATCACATGCTTGCCATGCATGGAACAAATGCAAATCAAAACCTTAAATACTTTTATCATCGAGTAAATCTGTAATGCTTCATTTCCATAAATGAGGAATGTTTATTTTGTGGCTTTTGTTGTTCAATTGCTCTTCAAAACTGTGAGGTTTAGATTGGGTGCTTGATGTATTTAATACAACTTACTGCCTGTAATGAATCATTTAGGCTCTGTTTGGTTTAAATTGGACGTTGCCTTTTTTTTTTTTTTTTTTTTTTTAAGGCTCTGTTTTGGTTTAAAATTGGACGTTGCCCCCGTTTTTTTTTTTTTTTTTTCTTTTCTTTTTTGCTGTCTTCAAGATTGCCTTTTTTTTTTTTTTTTCTTTTCTTTTTTGCTGTCTTCAAGAGTGCTTTCATTTTCAAGTCATATTTAAAGTCTCTTTTGCTGCATAGAATGTCTCTATTTAGTTTGTTTGTTTGTTCGTGGAAGTGTTGAGAAACTTGTTTGAAAAGCCGGAATTCCATTTAAAAAGGGAAAGGAAGGAATAAACTGTTGGGGGAGATTGGGCACTTATTTACAAATGGGTTGAGGTTTAAGGATCTGATGAGCAGCACTGGATTTGTTGAATTTACTTTGTATTTAAGTAGCTCCTCAGGATATGTTTGAAACTCATTATTGTTAATTTCTGTTACAGGTGAGGTATCCTGTGTTGCTGACACCTAATGAGAAGCAAATGGCAAGAGAAGTTTGCTTGGCGTTTAGGCAAGCGGTATACATTAGAATTTAGATTCAATAATCAGTATTCTTCTGATTTCCAATGTGTTATTATTTTTACTAACTTGATTGTGGCCACTTTGAAATATCTAATGCATTCCACTTTCTTTTTTTTTTTTTTTCTTTTTACTTATTCAACATTGTGCAAAGTGTCACCACATTTGTTTATCGACTTGTGCCTTGATTATCTATCACAGTAAATTTCCATTAAATGATTAGTGATCTTAGTTGGACGAGTTGGCTCTCTAGTGTTTCACCCTGAACTACTGAAGTTTGCCAGAACAATAAGCTCATCTTGTTGTTGCCCATTCCAATTAGGCTGTTCAAAATTTTTTCTCTTCTATTTTTGGAAATATAATGTTTTTTTTTTTTAGATCTCAATAATATGTGCTTCAATTCGTCTTGGTGGTAATTACTTTAGCATAGGCTTTGCTGTCTTTATTTGAACTCTTACCGGTTTATCTGAAGTCATATAAGCAGAGCTAATATGCAGTTATTTGTTAATCGTGGGTAGTTTGAACATGAATGCTAGAGCAAGTTGTATTAGTAAAATAAGCTCCTAAAGTATTTGTCTACGTTATTACTTTTGTTGTTATTGTAGTCATTATTTCACTCATTGCTTGCAGGTTTGTGGGTTTGATCTCTTGCGTTGTGAAGGACGGTCATATGTATGTGATGTGAATGGATGGAGTTTTGTGAAAAATTCCTACAAGTAATACTCACTTTCTTCTCATTCTTGATATAGCCTAAAAACATGTGTTGCTACAAATCTTAGCAAGTCATTTTAGGGTGTAAATATTATATTGAATTTCCTCTCCAAAAGGAACCAAGAGGAAGCACAAAAAAAAAAAATTCAGTTGTCGCTATTTGTGTTGTTGTCATTGCTGTGTTAACTTAAGGCTGATTCCTTGCCCCTGCCCCCAATCTCTTGAGAATTTTGTTGTGTCTGAAGACTGAAAGTGGCATAGGAATTGTGATTTGTGACATAAAACTTTACAAATTTAGCTGGAAACTAATCAAGCGTAAAAAATAAAATAAAAATAATGTTTGAAACTTGGTGAGCTTCATCATGATGCATCAGTGTTCTTGTAATTGGTACGACACAACATATATTAATGATCAAGACATTTTATCATGATACTTTTCAAACTACTAATGCTTGATTTATGTCACTGTAATGCTTAAATCTTCAGAAATAAAGTGGTATTTTATTCATTCAAGCATGACAACTAAACATTCTCGAGTTTTATAAAAATTTGATATTGTATTCATTGTTTTTATTCCAACTTTTATAATTTTAGTTTTTGTTATTTATTTAACATTTCAGGCTGATTATTTTGACGGAAGCTAGTATACTCTGTTATCCATTTTCCTGTTGACCACCTTTGCACTACTCTTAGTTTCCTTATATTTTACTTATTAGTACTCTCTCTAATGCAGATACTATGATGATGCTGCTTGTGTATTAAGGAAGATGTTCTTAGATGCCAAAGCTCCTCACCTTTCATCAGTAATTCCACCCACTTTACCATGGAAAGTCAATGAACCAGTACAGCCTTCTGAGGGACTAACTCGTCAGGGAAGTGGGATTATTGGTGCATTTGGGCAGTCAGAGGAGTTACGCTGTGTAATAGCAATCATTCGCCAGTATGTTGTAAAAATTCCCTCTTGTTTTTACTGGATTAGTTAACAAGGAATTTATTTTATTTTCAAGAATCTATAGCAATTGAATCCATAGTTTGTTTGCCATAACTAGAAATCAAACTAGTATTGTGTCTGGAACAAATGGAGAATTGAGTTCATATGTTCTTTCAAAGAATGCATTGCATGCATTAAAGAGAGGGAGTGTCAAAAGATAGAGAAGAGTTTTGCTTTAATTAAATAATGGAGTGTATTTAATTCTAATTGGTTTTGCATTACTGTGGAATTCAATCTTGAATTCCATTCATCACAAAAGATTCATTCTAAGTATTCTGAATTTCGTGGGATTTAAGTTACAGAATCTCAAGTGAGAATTCTACACAATTTTATGGAATTAAAAAATGAGGTGATCTTCAGTTCTCTTTTTATGTAAATTTTTCGTGGACAGTGGTGATAGAACTCCAAAACAGAAGGTGAAGTTAAAGGTTACTGAGGAAAAGCTATTAAACCTGATGTTGAAATACAATGGGGGACGACCTAGATCTGAAGTGAGTTAGTTTGTTGGTACTTTTCTTTTTCTAATATCTTGCAAGACAACTGGTTAATATTTGGGTCTCTCTCTCTCTCTCTCCCCCCCCTTCATTTGTTCTGCAGACGAAACTTAAAAGTGCAATTCAGTTGCAAGATCTGTTGGATGCCACACGAATGCTTGTACCACGGACAAGGTTTTACCCAAAACTGTAACTCTATTTTATCTTTGTTGCCATGGTTAATTTGTACATATGATAT